CTGGCTAGGCCAATAGCTGAGCACATAACTTTTCATTGTATTCATCATTTTGCAAAACAGGTAGGAGTGGAAATTCTAACGAATCAGCATTTCTATGGTAACAGCTTTGGTAAAGTTCTATCAAATGCTAAGTGCCTGCTGAAATTATGTATGTAGAGTTTTGCGATTAGGGAGGGGAAAAAAAAAAGACAAATCATGAGGCTCTACAAAGTAGCTTAGAAAAACAAGTTTTCTATTTATTTAAAAATAAGTTTGTAGTTACTACATTGCAGGGACAGGAGTTCTTACACATACATTCTAGTTTGTATAAAAGGATTCAAAGAATTATGCATCAAAAACTAACATAGAAAGTGTCCACATAACAGTAAAGAAAGGTCCAATCAATATGTACAAAAAGAAAGGGCACTGCTATCCTGGTGTGAGACTGCCATTTATAACATGATACTCCAGGTTTCTGGAAGGAAAGAACAAAAACCTCAATAAAGCTAAATAATTAATTTGTTTTTAAACTCTGTTACTTATTAACATACAACAGATTTGCTTGTGTTTAACATTGTTTTCTGTACAAAATAAGCATAATTTTAATTTGAAAATGTGTCAGTTTCCACATTAACCCTCTAGGTCAGTTACTTTTTAAAAATTGAGCTACATTCTACACATGTCTAAATATCATAAGTGACAGGATTTAAGTTTTCTAAAAGATCTTTAATAAGACCTCTGTCTTCTTGTAGTTTAATATGGTCCAAAAATGTAACTTCATATTTTGTATAATTTTTAGTTTATCATTGTGATAAATCAACACGCACATTAAACTTAACCAGCATGTGTGTATATGCCTTACATGCATGTACGTACATACCATCTTGAACCTATTCTTAGTTTCTTAAATGTAGAAACTCACAGCCACCCACTATTACGTATTTGGTTTGTGCCATATAAGGTTTAATTTCCTGATGATTTTATCTGCATTAAAAAGTATTCCAACACAGAACTATCAAAACTAAAAATAATATATATATCTAGCTCATTAATTTCTACTCATTGCTTTACAAGGTGTGTACAAAGTTTATCTCCAGAGCACCAAAAGTAGTAGTCTGCTGACTCAATCTGACATTTCCTGGATAGTGTACTTAAGTAAAAATGACTTTTCACTTCGAGTGCTTAGCTAAGTATAATTGAGAATAAAAATTACTTTCTTACTTAACGTAATTAATTTTAGTTCAAATCACTTGGAAATGTGGGAGACTGGGGGTCAGGGAGCACAAGGAGGAATGCAAGGAATAAGGTGCGTTTTTCCAATTTCAAAGGAGAAATAAAATCTTATTTAAATATAACAAGTCACTGTTCAACCTGTTATGTTAGGCATACTTTCTAGGTATGGAGTAATTCACAGAACATATACATACATATAAAAGTAATTCCTTTATTAGGACTTTTTAACTCATATATTTTCTGTCTGTGACATTTATGGCCCTTTAATGTCTCAAGTATCTTGGTCCTTTCAACTTAAAAATATAGTTCAGATTAACAGAAAAGTTAAATTTGTTTTCATTAGATAAACTGAAAACGAAAATTGCTTCCAGCCAACATTTGAAAGGGATTACGTAGGTATGTAAATGGAATGTCAGATTTAAAGTAAATGCTGTTAACTGGAGGGACTTATATTACAAATGATATTTCAAAACATGTAAATGATGTTAATGTCATACAAGCTGAAGTGTTATTTGAATACACTGGTGAAACGTCTCATTAATCTACTACATGTAGATAAGGGACTGTGCACACATGTTGCATGAGGATCTCGTCACTGATCAATGATTCTTATGTAATTCATTTCCAAGTAATACTAAACTCAGCCAATTCCCTATCTCAAATATGACCTTACCAAACTCACAAATATTCTATGCAGTTATTCTAGTTACATTTGAGGAGGAAGACAATCTTGTAATAATACTACCAAATTGCCTTTAAATTTGTGGTGAAGCTGAGCCATGAAAATGAGACTAAATCTTTATAGTTCACAACTATGTGCAGAAAATAGTCCAACACCACAATCTCAAGTCACAAAGGATAAAATCAGAAGCAGCTATGTATCTAATGTCCAGGTATGCTGGACAATTACACTGAATATTTAAAATAACTGCAATATTTATAATTTGTATAAGAAACTCCAAGAATCACTTGGGAGTTAAGAATACGGCTGGAGAGAGAAGGAAGAGGTAAAGCGTATTAGGATTGGGTACTTAAAAATACAGATTGATTTACACTTTCCTTGCATGTAGCAAGTTATATTTCTGAAGCTTTCAGTAAATTTGAGATTTTTTTAATTGTTCACCTAAGGCAACTGCCAAGATTTCCTTCTGGCATATAAATAGTACATACAGGGTATCACTATCTCAAAGAGGATATATGTTTCCAACTGACAAAACAAAACAATTATATGGTGATAACTTCAGTCTCGTAAGTCAACTTTTACAATGTATAGAAGCTAAATTTTAAAAATATAAAAGCTCTCCGGTATTATTAATACATTTTTCAGTGTTTTAATTACAGGGAATCTGATCCAAGTCATTTTTGCTTTACTAAGAAACCAGTGTCTAATAATGTTCAAATGAGGCCATAAATATACAGTGTCTTTAGAACAGGAATAACACATTTACTTCTTGCAGGAAGGTGTTAAATACAAGTTTCTTTACTCAAGATCCAGTAATCATACTAGAGGTGTGCTATATTATTCTAGCACTGTGTATGCGCTTCCTTTTTCTGTACACACCTTAAAACTTTTTTTTTAACAAAAAATGGATTTGATAGTCCACTACTTTTTCCAACAATGCAGATAACATCAGGAAATTACATATTTCAAATACATTGCCCTCAAAAAGCAACAAATGACCTAAATTTCAAACATATACACTATTATTTTCAATGGTGTAACTGAAAGACTTGCTTTACTATACAACCAAGCCATCCATTTCTGCATTATGAAGATTTTAACTACTGAGTTTTAATTAAATATTTTTGTTAGAAAAAAATAAATATACAAAAGAACCTGAAAACTTTGAATTATATTTTTCAACTGCAAAATCACAGCAATCCAGTCAAGATCTGGAAAATGGTTTACTTAATTTCACAGGAGGATTTCTGTACAAATTTAGTTATAAACGATCTAAAAAGCCCAAATGTATCACTTTCTATTCTTCTTCAAGATAGCTGAATGATAGCTAATTATTACCCTTACAAGAGTAAGAAATAATTATGTAATATGTTTTGCCAGGGTTCAATGTAAAGTCTTTATTTTTCTACATCAAGGTCATGCTGATACATATTTTCCTCACTTTTTAAAAATGTAGTATCTGAAAATTTTGGTTACATTTTTGTACCATACCAGTCCTCAGAAAATACTACATTCTTTAAACTTTTAGAAAATGGACAATAATTTTTAAACAATAGAAATGGTATTTATGTTGGTTTTTAAGGTATAAAATAACTAAATGTACCATAAACAAATAAATAACTGCTTTCCTTTTTCATAGCAGTACATATAGCAATACATTCTCCTAAGTCATATAGTTATCATTTACAATAGACAACTTAATTTTACTAATGATGCAAAAAATAATAGAATACAAGGCACAATCATTAAATGGAATTTTCCTTTAGGGTGTATATTGACATACCAGCGTGATAAGGATACCGTAAAAAGTGCAGAAAAAACACAATGTGCAATGAGACCACTGTATAAAACATGATTGCATAAAAAGTGATTTGGCCTATTTTTAACTTTTAATAATTGAAAATAACCAATCTTCCCCTTAAAATTAAACTATAAAGTATGACATTTTAAAATTATTTTTATTCTAGAGCTATCTAAAAAATCCTGAAAAAAGAATTTATACCTGGGTAACAGTATATAAGTATGTGTTTGTATATATATTTAATTATACCCATTTATCAATATATACACATACACACACAGACACGTTTCTTTGTAAGTCATTTTAGCCTATTAGATATGACTAAAGTTTAGAAATGACATTAATCCAGATTGACAAGTAAACATTAAATCCCACACCTTTTTCCTGTATTTTCCTTGAATCCTTTAACCACTTAAACATTTTCTCTAAAACATCTCTGTCAAAGGACCCACCAGTGCATTATTTTCTATTAGTACCAAAAAAAGATACATCTCAGCATAACTCTTTAATAAGTTGCTCTTTAGAATAATATATAGCCTTTTCCAGTATTGAAAATTGTATGCTGTCCTGACAGTCAAAAACAGGCTTTCCACTGCACTGATTCTCAGTCTTTGGCACAATAAACAGAGATTGAGTGATTGATATAAGAATCAAGGTCTGAAAAATTAGACAGTCAAATGTTTTCCAATGTGGATATGTTTCCTTTTCATCAATACATTTTCTCTTAAGTTTGGCAGAAATGGAATAAAGCAAAAGCCTCCTCTAGATTCTATAATTAAAATTAAACATTTTAGGTTATCATCAAATGTTGGGAATTTTATATTTACCTTTACTGGGTACAGATTTAATTTACTGCTACTCTGTAACATTTGTCTTCCTAGGGGCACGACTTCTGTATCAACAGAAATGCACCTTGCTTGGTCAAAAATATTCATTTTAACATGAAATGCTCTATCACTAGGAATATTATGCTCAAGAGTGTAGCAGAACTGTCTTTTCCATAAATAAATCAGGAATTCATTATAGGTTCTCAATTTCTTTTGTTTCAAACAGTGAACAAAATAAATGTTGAAATGCATAACCTATCTAAGGGCAATAAATAGCAAACATTTAAAATATATATATGTATATATTTATATATATATTCATTTAAAGAAGTGAAGTGTCTTGTAAGTTTGTTTTTTGCAAATCAAACCGTAACATTCCCTAATCCACCATAGCAGCAAGGAAGCAGAAACCTTAGTTCTACTTATTCCTTAACTGTACCTGCTTTATAGATTTTGAAGTAAAATATTTTGGTACAAACTACCAACCAATTAAATTAGCTTTTGCCTTTTCAGTCAACTTTCGGACTCGTCCTCTACTAGAAGTTCCAAAAGTCAAAGAGGTGTCTTCAAACAACAGCTGCCTTTGCTCCTCCTCGGAGTCATCCTCATTATAGAAAGCTGTCCTTCGACCTTGGTTTCTAGTTCTCATGTGGGGTTCAGAGCCTTTAAGTTCCTCAAACTCTTCTTCTTCATCCATAGGGTCATCTGTCTTTTTTCGGTTACTTCTCCTTAGAATTTTAATACTTGTAGGAACCATGAGATCTGAGTCTAATTTTTGTGTCTTCACCTTCCGTTTGGGTTTTCTGCCTCCACGATTCTTTTTCTGTAACAAATCCTCCTTTACAGTATTAGTTTCAGAAAGAAAACTGCATGTCGAAGAAGGAACTACTTCATCTCTGATAGGATGCACATTATTTTCCTGTGAATTTTCTGGCTTTGCATACTGTAGCCTTTTGGGCTTTCTACCCCTTTTCTTGTGTATAACTTCACCACTATTAGTGGTATTAACTTCTACCTTAGGTTTCCTTCCAGGTCCCCTTTTCACAAGTTTTGATGGCTGCCCTCCATGGCCATTTACTTGAATGCTTCCTGGTATAAGAGCATTGTTCTTACAATCTGTTAAAAGGGAACAAAAGCACACATCAGTACATAGAACTGCTTTTAGTTTGGCCATGGAACTGCTTTTAGTTTGGCCCTTGAACTAGTCAATGAGGCCTATTCTGAATGTTATATGGAATGACACAATCACTTTACTAAAATGATAAAAAGAACCTAGAGAAAGCAAAAATTTTAATTGCATTATTTATTTTCTAATTAAAATGCACAGAAGACAAAGAACCTTAATGATAACATCAGTAACTTCATTTGACATGTGAGGGAAATGAAACTGAGAGCAAATAATTTATCTAAGTTAATACTATTAATTGATGATGAAACTAGGATTAACCAAGGTTTCTTACTCCTACCTTTAACTACATATTCTAATGATTTTTTTTCCATCACAAAATGACCCCATTTATTTTATAGAGCTTAACAATTACAAAGTACTTTATTCTTCACCTCATTAAACACAGAATTTTTCTATATTCCTACCTTTAAGCAATTTAATTATGGAAAATAATCTTAATTTAAAACTCATCATCTTGTAATTTGATAATCTGAATAAATAAGTGTATCATCCTTGTATTTTCCTCTAATCATTTTATCTATGATGAAAGATGGAGTAAGAGAAAAGCAAGATTAGAATGGTATTAACTCTTTATCTGAGAAAAATTTATTATCTAAATATTTCCTTGCATTCTCCACGTATTTTGACTAAAATCCTACTAAAATTCCGTAATTGCCATTATGCTTCATAACAAGAAGAGAAAAAAGCTGGAGATCTTTCTATGGTGTAAAAAAGAAAAAAAAACTGAAAAATGCCATGACCCTTTCAGGTGAATGGAGAAGATACCACACATGTATTATCACAATCTCCTTTTTTTTCCTAAGACTTAGAAGCTTTTGTTTGGTTGTGGTGGGTGATTTGCAGTGCAGTACTTTACAGGAAACTGACAGAGATGGAAATGGCTTTAAAGAAAATTATTTATTCATAATCGTGTAATTTTCTTGTCCTGTATTTGAATTTTATTGCTTTGTAAATATCAAGAATTAACAGTCAAAACACTCATAAAGGTGAGTAGTAGAAGTAGAAAGCAGCACTCTCACTTCCCTAAGTCCCAAAGCACAAATGACTATTCCTTAGATTAGTGGTTTTTCACACTGTGTATATGTGTGTGTGTGTGTGTGCGCGCGCGCACATGCATGTGCATAAAACAGTTAAGTATTTTCTAAGAAATGATTACATTTAAAGTGCCTGATGATCCTGTACATCTTTTTGTTTGTTTTACAGTAAGACTACTGACAAGAGTTCTAAATATCAAGTCCATGTATCTATCCATTACAAATTCTCTAGATGGACTTCAAGGACTCCATGAACTCCTTGAACTGTCCAAAATTTTGGGTGGATATACATGTATACATATTTCTAGGAAAAAGGCTATAACATTCACCAACTTTATAAAGCAAAATATAATCTAAAAAGGTTAAGAATTAATGTGGCTCTCTTAAAAAGGAATTCAGAAGTTTAAAAAAAAAAATTAAAAAGCATTGATCTGGATTTATTGTCCAACAAGGTAACCATTAACCACAAATAGCTATTAAGCACTTGAAATGTGGCTATGGCAACTGAGGACAGAATTTTTAATTAAATTAAATTTAAACATAAATACTAAAAAAGTATGTATTTTCAAATATTGATTACATGATGAAATGATAATTCTGATATAAAATAAATAAAATACATTATTAAAATGATCTGTTTTCAATAGATAAAGCTCACAGAGAACTTTATGTGGCTCACATATTTCCAACGGACATCACTGCTCTTTAATATTGTTAATTTAGGTGTATTAATGTAACAAACTGTTAATTTCAGTAACTATTAATGAGTTGATAGCTGATTATCATAATTCTATACTTGATGGCACATAACAACAACAACAACAACATACTGTCTTGGTATTCAAGTACTTCTAACAGTCAAACTGGCTTCCCTTATTGTAATGCAAGAATCAAATGAACAATTTCCCCATATATATTTGATTTCACTTGGATTCAGGAGTGACAAAATCAAGTTCAATATAACATTCAAATCTTCTTCTAGGTGTAATAAGCATATTAGAAATTATTTATTATATACAAACTTAGAACCTATTTTTATTTCTATATAGCAAGCTTTTCTTATGTTTTTAAATTTAATGACTATACAGTCCGCTTTTGACACAGAGCTGCAAATCAAAGAAAGTCTCACTAAATGTATTAACCAATACAGGATGTGTGAATTTTAAAAAAGCACCGTGAGAAAGGGGTATAAATGTTAACTCTAACAAAGGTATCATTTGTAAGAGGGCTCCACTGTATCTTTATATATACCAGTAATACCATACCTGGCTCAATGACAGCTGATGACTTTGAAAGAGTAGATGTCTTTGGTAGTACAGATGTCTTCATTTTACGTTTGACTGGCTTTTCCTTTTCTATGTTTTCTTTTGCAGAATTATTCCTAGTGCCATGACTAAAACTGGATTGAGTAGGACTTGAAAGAGTATTCAAAGTTTTGGAATGTTTCACAGAATTTTCCAGTACTAAAATACACACATAAAACACAAAAGATTAAAAGCTAAGAGTTACTTTTGAACCTAAAAACATGCAAAAGGTTCAGATTGCTTGAATTGAATGAGAATAAAACCTGGGAGATGCTTGCAGTGTCTCTCTTGGGAAATCTTTCAAACAGAAAAAGGTATACACAATTAGCTCCTTGGAAGGAAGGTTGGGCAATCTATTTCTGTAGCGATACCGCCTCAGAAACCCAAGGAGGGGTCGCTATGAGTCGGGGCTGACTCGATTGCACATAACAACAAACAACATACCCAATTAGAAACTTTTAATAGTTTAGCCCTTTTAGAAGTTGTCTAAGTCATTTAAGAGATTATGAAGGCAAGTCTTGACAAATTGCTAGCAAGTCTGGGTATGAGTAGTTAAATTTAGGCATTCTGGATCAGAGTTGTCAATATTTAAACATTCTACACTGACACTAAACCTCAATCTTCATTCTCTTATTAAAAACAAGATTTATTTAAAGGCAAAAAATAATTTAAAAATCAGCAATATATGCTCAAAGTTTGTAATTTTACATACATACACATACATTTATACACATACATATATATATACATATGTGTGTGTGTGTGTGTGTGTGTATCACCATACACACTTCAGTTAGAAAGTATAACTAATTCTTACTTGTTTTCCCTGGCATTGCAGCTGTATTCACTTTAGAAATAAAAGTCTTTCCTGCTGAAGAAGTAGATGGTTGGTCAATGATAACTGGATCTACAATCACTCGGTTGCTTCTGGTTCGAACCACGGAACTGGATTCTGTTTTACCATTTATCTGAGCAGCATTGTGTCTTGGTGGTATTGATCGTGTAGGTGTAGAGAATGGAGAGGTAGAGATATCTGATTTTAGTTGAGGTTTTAAGATCCTTTTTTTCCTTTCAGGGCTGTAAATAATATAAGACCTTTAGTCATTCTTATAAGCACTATGTACATGAATAAAATACAGTAGCTTTATAATACTGTTGAATTCAATATTTGTACTGTTATGAAATATGTTAAAATATGAGATTTGTAGTGGATTTCATATGGTTGTGAGCCTTTGAAAAGTGAATATTTAGTGAAGGATTGCTGTAAATGCTACAGTTATATGACAGAAAGCATGAGGCCATCACTATCCTAAAAATGCTGTTTTACTGTATAGATTTAGCAGTTTGAATTTAAGCACTTACACTAGTATAGGTTTAGTTAAAAGATTAAAAATCCTCCACATCATAGGAACTTGCATGTCAAATATATCATTCTGCAATATAGGGAATAGTAAAGGAAGTATTAAAAAACACCAAGTTCTATCATTTTGATGTTAAAGTCATAGATCAGTTGATGCTACTGAAAATAAATTAAATACCTAGAGGCAGCACTACTGGAAACAGAGCTGCTTCTATTTCTTTTCTTTCTCCTTTTAGTTATTGTATTTCTTTTATGAAAACGAAGAGCAGATTTATAATCTGATAAAACTGAACTAATGTGTTCTTCAAAGAAAGCAGACAGGCGCAAACTCATGCTGTAAATCTACGGAAAGGAAACATAAAAACTGGTCAAGCATTCTTCAATGAAAAATGTCTGTTCAGTAAATATTAACATATAATCTATATTGTTTTCTAGCAATTTTTTTTCTTAAGAATTTAAACACTGTTTACCAATTGTTTTAGTAAATTAGAAGCATTTTTACAATTAATTTTGTGTTTAGGTTAGGAACCTTCCAATCTTTGAGATTCTTAAAGAAAAATCCTCCTCTAAATTCAGGTGGCTCACAGAGAGATATCCTGTCATCCTACTTACACTCTTCCTGACAGTTATAAACCTCATTTCCTCTGCTACCTAGGACTAGCAACTACTCTTTATCATTTCACTTCCACACATCACTCTTTGTGGTGTCTTGTCTGACCAAAGGAAAATAAATCATATATATTTGTCCCTTTTTCTACTAGGACACCATTAAAAACATAGCACAAAGTCAGTCTATGTTGCTCTAATTTTTAAACAACAGAAAGATTTAGCTATTTACTTTTCTATTACTAATATTACCATTTAATTTAAATATAAGACAATTTAATTATATACCCTGGATCTTTTGCTTGGTGTATATGCTTTAGAATTACTGAAAATAAGTCTGACATCTTTACATAACTCCATTGGTGACTCATAATTCCCAGCCTCTAAAGTTTCTCTAACTGTAGCAAAATCCATTGGAGTGTCAATGATGTCTCTGTAGTCCTAAGGGGAAAACAGATAATGATGTTATTATTATTATCACCACAAAGCATTAATTCTCAGCATGAGGATTCACATAGGATTTCTATGATTAATATAAATCCTAGAACTATTCATAAACACTCCTTGTTTTGCTAATCAATGTTCCTTTTTTTCTAGTAATTTCTATCTCATGCGATCTCCTGTTTACTGCAATTAACATAGTACTCTTCTTGTTAGCAGTACACAGAAGTTACATTTTTTCTCCCTGGAGGGTAGGGTGGATAAAAGCATGGAGCTGTATTGGGAAAGGAGAATTAAAGTAATGAAAAAACCTCAAACTCAGTAACTACAAATATGTTTGATGTAAACAGAACACTTTATACTACATATAAATCCTAAAACTTTGACTATTTGAATCATGAAAGCCTGAGTTCTAGTAACTCAAATTCATTACAAAGACTGGGAACTATACAGTAATCGAGACTTATGAATGTAAATGGTTGTGATAAAATCTGTGCACTTTATTCCACAGATGAGAAGAAGGAATCATCATCCAAGGTGTCCACCTAGTCGATTATATGTAAAAGAGATAGCAAATTAGAAATAATAAAAACAGTCAAATGAAAGAAGAAACAATGTATAATGTCTTTCAGTAGGGAAAAGGTGTACTATACCTTTTCAATAGCCCAAGTATTTAATTACATTTTTCATAGTAACTGGACTTTGCCATCAAGTTTATATTATGATCAAATATAAAGCAAAGAAGGTACAATGTAAGATAGGATTATTAAAGAACATGATCATCTTCTTTGTTTTAACTAAGTGTGCCAGATCTTAGACCTTTCCAAGGCACTCTGCCTTTCAAATTAGTCAGCCTAGGAAGCTGTATCGTGGCTGCAATCATATGGTTTTTACAGAGAGAAGTTTTATTTCTTCCTTTCTAATTTATATGCCCTTTTATTTCTTTTTCTTGCCTTACTGCACTGGCAAGAGAAGACATCCTTGCCTCATTCTCAATCTTAGAGGGAAAACACTCCAATTTTCACCTTAAGGATGATGTTAGCTGTAGGTTTTTTGTAGATGTTCTTTATCAAGATGAGGAAATTCCCCTTTTAGTTTTCTGAAAGTTTTTATTATGAATGTTGATGCTTTTTCTCATCAATTGATGTGATTTTTCTTTTCTAACCTGTTAATATGATGGGATATAGTGATTAATTTTCAAAACCTGAAAACCAGCCTTATATACATGGAATTAATCCTACCCGGTCACGATATAGAAACATTCTTATATATTACTGAATTCTATTTGCTTTTGCTAAAAGTTTTTTCATTTATACTCATGAGGTATATTGGCATAGTTTTATTTTGTCCCTAGTAGCTGGTTTTGATACACCAGGGTAACACTGCTTTATAGAATGAATTGGGAAATGTTTCCTCCAACTTTCTGAAGAGATTGTACAGAATTAGTTCTAAATCTTTTAACATTTGGTAAAATTCTTCAGTGAAGCCAATGAGCCCGGAGATTTCTTTTGTGAAAGGTCTTAAATTACAAGGTAAGTTTCCTTAATAGTTTATAGACCTATTCAAATGACTTATTTCATACTGGTTAAATTGTAGTAGTCTTTATACTTTCCAAGGAATTGGTCCATTTCATCTAGTTGACTATTTTATATGTACAATTGTTTGTAATATTCCTTTACTATCCTTTTTTATATCTGCAGATTATCAAAGGATCTGTAGTGATACAAATGACTATTACCAGGAATAGAAAAGGGAGTGTTTTCTCTTTTGGTGTTTGTAAATCTTAATAGTAGCCTGTCAATTTTATCAATCATTTCAAATAATCAGTGTTTGGTTTCATGGATTTTCTATTTTGAACTTCACTGACATCTGCCCTTTCTTCTGCCTACTTATTCCGTACTTCTTTATCTAGGTTCTAGAAACTTACTGATTTGAGACTTTTTCTCTTCTGATGGAAGCATTTAGTGCTGTAGATTTCCCTCTTAGCATTGCTTTAATTGCATCCCACAAATTTTGGTGTTATATTCATATCATACATTCAGCTCAATGTACAGGCACACCTCGGAGATACTGCAGGTTCAGTTCCAGACTTCCGTATTAAAGCAAACATCTCCAAAAAAGCAAATATCCCAATAAAGCAAGTCACACATTTTTTTTTGGTTTCCCAGTGCATATAAAAGTTATGTTTACACTACACTGTGGTATATCAGTGGGCAGCACAGCATTATGAAAAAGTTTGAAATATTTTGAGAATTACCAAAATGTGACACAAAAACACAAAGTGAGCACATACTTTGCAGAAAAGGGTGCTGACAGACTTATTCAAAGCAGGATTGCCACAAACCTTTAATTTTTTTTTTTTAAAAATGCTGTATCTACAAAGCACAATAAAACAAGGTGTGGCTATATAGTTTTAAAAAAATTTACTATTAAACTCTCTTCAACCCATGGATTTTAAGTGTGGTATTTAGTTTCCAAGTGTTTGGAGATTTTCTGTTTTTGTTTTGTTTTGTTTGTTATTGATTTCTAATTTGACTCCACTATGGTTGAAAAGTAGGAGCTCTGGTAGCATAGTGCCTAAGGCACTTGACTGCTAACCAGAAGGCTGGCGGTTCAAACCCATCATCCACTCCTTGGAAGGAAGGTTGGGCAATCTACTTCTCTAGTGATACCACCTCGGAAACCCAAGGAGGGGTCGATGAGTCGGGCTGACTTGACGGCACCTAACAACAACATGGTTGAAGAGCACACACTGTTATTTCAATTATTTTCAATTTGTTGAGGTTTTTTTTATAGTCCAAAATGTGGTCAATTTTGGTGTATTTTCCATGGGTACTTGAAATGTGTATTCTGCTATTACTGGGCAGAGTATTATATAAAGGTGGTTAAGTTCCTGTTAATTGTTGGTGGTAAATGGTTCTAAATCCTTGCTAGTTTTCTGTCTAGTTCTGCCAATTTTTCAGAGAGGGGTGCTAAAGTCTCCAACTATAACTGTGGATCTGTCAGTGTCTCCTTTTAGTTCTATCACCTTTTGATTCATGTATTTTACACCTGAGTTAATTCGTCCAGACACCATTAAGATTACTACCTCTCCTTGAAGATTAACCTTTTTATCATTATATAATGTCCTTCTGTCTCTGGCAGTTTGCTCTGAATTCTAATTTTATATCAATATAGCCATTTTGTTTTTATTTCTTTCATTTTTAACATGCCTATATTATATATTTGAAGTGAGTTACATGTGGATTGTATATAGCTGGGTTGTTTTTTTAATCCAGTTTTCCAATATCTGACTTTTACTTGGTGTATTTAAATCATTTATTTTTAGTCCCATTAGCCTCCCCACCCTGTTCAGCTTGAGTGTGTATCTATGTATCCACTGGTTGTTGTAGATTACTGTTATTACTGTTACTGCATGATTGTATATGTAATAGTATTCACCTCTGTTGCTTTTAGCTCTGGTGGCACAGTGCCCAAAGCATATGACTGCTAACCAGAAGGCTGGAGATTTAAACCTATCAGCCACTCCTTGGAAGGAAGACCAGGCAATCTACTTCCCTAGAGATACTGCCTTGGGAAATAATGAAGGGGCTGTCTCTAATGCTCATGCCTTGATCATTTTCTGCTGACCTCCTTGTTGTATACTGCCTTTCACTTTACCCATGTTAATACATGCCTTGTTGTTTTGTTGCTATTATGCGCCATTGAGTCGGACCTGACTCCTTGGGTTTCCGAGGCAGTATCAATATGGAAGTAGATTGCCCAACCTTCCTTTCAAGGTGGGTTTGAACCATCAGCCTTCTGGTTAGCAGTCAAGTGCCTTAGGCACTATGCTACTAGAGCTCCCTCTAGTTAATGATTTACCCTCATTTTCCTTCCCACCTCTGGTCTCCTTCAAAGAATAACTCTATGTGTAAACTTCTTGTGACTTTTTACAGTAGTGGTCTCAAACAAATACTTGTCCTTTTGTGATTGACTCATTTTACTCAGCATAATGTTTTCAAGGTTCATCCATGTTATGATGTGCTTCACAGATTAATCACTACTCTTTAATATTGCATAGTATTCCACTGTGAGTACATACCATAGTTTGTTTATCCATTCATTTGCTCATGGGCACTTAACGTTATTCCATCTTTTTGCTATTGCTATTATAATACTGTGATGAATGCAGTTGTGCACATTTGCTCATGTATGGCTCTTATCGCTCTATGATATGCATCTAGAAGTGGGATTGCTGGATCATATGGAAGCGCTATGCCATTTGCCACAGTGGTTGCACCATTTTACAGTCCATCATCAGTGTGACAGTTTCAGTCTCTCCACACCCTCATCAGTGTTTTTTTTTTTTTTTTGAGTTTTGCTATTGATGCTGTGATTAGATAATATTTCATTATTATTTTGATTTACATTTCTCTACTGGCTAATGAGTGCAAGTATTTCTTCATGTTTTTGTTAGATGCCTGAATGTCTTCTTTGGTGAAGTTTCTGTTCATGTCCTCTGTCCATTTTTTTAATTAGGTTGTTTAGTCTTTGTGATTGAGGTACTGAAATTCTTTATAAATTTTATTTAGGCCCTTGTCCAATGTCATTGCCACATTTTCCCCCAGTCTGCAGGTTCTCTTTTTACTCTTTTGGCAAAGTCATTTCATGTGCATATGCACTTAACTTTTAGGTGGCCCCAGTTGTCTAGTTTCACCTTCTGCTGTTTGTATATTTTGACTTAAATTTGATAGTATATTGATGCCATGTATTAGGGCCCCTAAGTTTGTCACTATTTTTTCTTTGATTACCTTTATGGTTTTAGGTGTTACATTTTGGTGTTTGATCCAACTTAAATTACTTCTTTTATATAGTTAGTTATATGGGTCCTGTTTCACTTTTCTGCAAACAGATAATCCAGTTTTGCCAGTATCATTTGTTAAAGAGACTGTATCTTTCCCCTTTAGAAGGTTTCAGCCTTCTATCAAAGAACAGATGTGCATAAGTGGATGGATTTACTTCTGGGTTCTTGATTCAATTCCACTGGCTTATGTGTCTGTCATTGTATCAATACCAGACTGTTACGACTACTGTGGCTGTATAATAGGTTTTGAGATTGACGAGTGTGAGGCCTCCTACTTTGTTCTTCCTCCTTAGTGCTTTACTTATATGGGGTCACTTTTTGTTCCATCTGGAGTTGGTGATTAGTTTTTGTACTTCTTTAGAGAATGATGATGGAATGTGGGTTAGGATTGTATTATATCTACAGATTGCTTTGTGTATATTGTCATTTTTATAATCTTAAGTCTTACTATCTATGAACATAATATATCCTTCCATTTATGTGGGTCTCCTAGTTTCTTGTGTTAGTGGTTTGTAGTTTTTTTTGTGTGTGTCTCTGGATAGATTTTTTCCTAAATACTTACTCTCTGGGGTAGCTACTGCAAATGGTATTGCTTTCCTGATTTCCTTTTCAGAGTTCTCTGGTTAGTGTAGAGGAATAAAACTGATTTTTGTATGTTGATCTCGTACCCTGTCACTGTGCTGAATCCTTCTATCAGTTTGTTTTCTTGTTGAGTCTCTAGGATTTTCTATTTATAAGATCATATCACTGACAAATAGAAATGGTTCTACTTTTTCTTTGCCAATTTGGATGCCTTTTATTTCCCTTTCTTTATTGCTATGGATAGGGCTTCCAACACAGTACTGAATAGAAGTGGCGACAAAGATCATCCTTGTTTGGTTCGCATTTGCAAGGGGTATGTTTTCAGTTTCTCTCTCCACAGAGAATAATGTTGGCCATTGGTTTTATGTATATGCTCTTAAGTATGGTGAGCAATTTCCCTTCTATTCTTATTTTGCTGAGTATTTTTCATCCAGAAATGACAAAAGCATTTGTCAAATAGTTTTTCTGCATCAAGTGATATTATCATGTGGTTCTTTCTTTGTTTTATTTATATGGTAAGAGTATGTTGATTGTTTAGAACTAATGTTGAAACTTCCTGGGATACCCAGTATGAATCCTACTTTGTCATGCTGTGTTTTTTTTTTTTTTTTTTGATATGCTGTTGGATTCTACTGGCTAGTATTTTGTGGAGAATTTCTATGTCAATGTTCATAAAGGACACCGGTCTGTAACTTTTTTTTTTTTTTGTAAGAGATGTTTTTGCCTGGTTTTGTATGAAGGTCATGCTTGCTTCGTAGAACAAGTTCAGGAGTATTACTTCATTTTCTACAAAGTTTCAGTAATACTGGTGGTATAAGCTCTTCTCTGAATGATTTATATAATTTGCCAAGTAAACTGCCTGGACCAGCATGTTTTGTTGTTGTGAGTTTATGACCTGTTCAATTTCTTCTTTTGTAATGGGTTTGTTCAAATTTCTACCTTAGATCGAGCTTATTTGGCTAGGTAGGATGTCTCTAGAAATTTCTTCCAGGTTTTGAAATTTGATGGAGTACAGTTCCTCGCAATATTCTATTATCTTCCTTTTAATTTCAATAGATTCTGTTGTGACATGGCCTACTTCATTTCTTATTTGTGTTATTTGCACTCCTTTTCTGTTGTTAAATTTTCCAGTGGTTTTGTAAATTTTATTAATTCTTTCAAAGAACCAACTTCTAGTCTTACTTATTTCCATTGTTTTTTCTGTTTCATGTATTTCTGCTTTAATATTATTTCCTTTCTTCTGGTGTCTGCAAGCTCCACCCCCCCACCCCAATTTTGAAGATGCTGGAATAAGGTGTTAAAGGTTCTTTCTTATTTTTTTGATGTGTCTATTTATTGCTATCAATAGTCCTTGGAGTACTGACTTTTGTTAGGCCCCACTGATTTTCCTATGCTGTTTTCATCTTTGTTTGATTCAAGGAATTTTTAAATTTCATCTGCTACCCAGTAGTTTCTAAGCAGTGAACTATTCAGTTTCTAACTATTTGTTTTTCTTTCCTTTGAACTTCCTGTTGTTGATTTCTAATTTTACCGCATTATGATCTGAGACAGAAGGAAGGCTGGGCAATTGCCTTCCATCGTGATACCACCTTGGAAACCCAAGGAGGGGTCGCTATGAGTCAGGGCCAACTTGACAGCACATAACACCAACATGATCTGAGAAGATGCTTTGCAGTACTTTGATATTTTAAAATTTATCGAGTCTTGCCTTTGAGGCCTACCATATGGTGAATTCTGGAGAAAGTATGGGTAGAAGTCTAGGGTGTCTCAATGATCTCTACTAATATTTTGGGATAGAAAGAGGCTCTCCATTTGACCTTTATTGGTAGAGAAGGGGTAGAGCCATGACTTCTTCTATGACATCTGCTATCACAGACAAGTTATAAGACTTCTGTGTTACTAGGTTGCCACTTCCTGGTCCGCTGGCTAGAGAAGCTAGGTTTTTCCTGGAGTATTTTTTGTCTCTACCTGTTGGCATTTCTGGGTTGCCAGTTTCTCCAATATCCAGAGTAGAACATATAAAGCAAAAAGCAAATCCCAGGAATTCATTATTGTGTTGACCTCACATCCTGAGTTCCTAGGTCTGTCATCGTCTCTCCACATTTCAGTATTCTTGCATTCTTTTATATATATATTTAGATTTACTTATAGAATAAGGAAAAAGTATGTCTACTCTACCTTCCCAAAAACAGAAGTCCAATTATATTGCCTTTGACCAATGTGTCACCCTTAAATAACATTTGAGCTACTTTATAAAAAACCATACAACAAAATCAGATTTAGTACCTTGTAGTAATGTTCTGATTATGGCAAAACAGAGTACTATGTAGTTCGGTCTACCTTACATACCAAACCTGGTCCAAAAGACTTGACTGTTTACCTATTAGCATTAGTGGAAGATTGTCTTTTGTTAAAGAGATAGTCCAAAGCCTATATCCAGACTATTGAGACAACTGGGGGGTAAAAAAAGGTAGCTACAAAATTGTTTCATGTAGATTTTATGAAAAATGTCATTTAAATTATATGAAAGAATTTAAATGTTTTACGAAATTTTGTTTCTAGCTCATTCTCTTCCACTTGAATTTTTTATCTGTGTAAAGCATTTTACATAATTTCTTCATATGTTTGCACTAATTCTTCCTTTAAATAGTTACTGCAACTTAACTTCAATGATTTTGTATTTCATTTTCACAAATTCTATTTATTTTTAAAAATACCTTTCTTATCCCTTCCTGTAAATAATGACTTTTTTCTTTTCTTTCTTCTTTCATGTTATTTTTTCCAACCAAAATGACAAATCAATATTTAATTGATAGCATGTTTTGCCTTTCTTGTTGGTACCTAAAATGAGTCAACTTACAATGGGTGATATTTGGTTTGACAAAAAATGGCATGTAACAATAATCTGTTATCTCAAGTCTTTAGGGAAAAGGATGTTAATATTTTCATTTATTATTTCTCTTGTCTTTTATGTGATAGATGATTCCCTCATGTAGCTTGTGATTTCTTTTTATTCCTTTTGATGGCCCTCTTCTGTAGTCTTGATTTGGCAAGTATTACTCTAGGTAAGTGTATGACATTCTATATAATTTGATTTTGCCTGGACCTCCAGAAATACTACCCCCCCCCCAGAGTCCTATAGCATAAACTCCCTGCCATTGAGTCAATTCTGATTCACAGTCAACCTATAGGACAGAGTAGAACTGTCCCATAGAGTTTCCAAGGCTATGAATCTTTACAGAAACAGCCTGCCACATCTTTCTCCCACAGAGTGGCTGGTGGGTTTGAACTGCTGAGTAGTGAAAACTACCTAAATCCATGCATACTGCAAGCTTTACAAGATTTCCCTCCTCTGTGACCAGAGTTTCTTGCAGAAAAATTCTTCCTTGTAGAATGCATTATTCTATTCTTTTCATAAGGGTACAGCCACTTCACAGTCCCAGTTTTAGAATTCCCTTTCTTACTAAGGTTGAAGGCTTCACCTGTCTTTGTAGTGTTAGTACTTGTGTTTCTAGAATTTAGACATGAAAACTTTTTTCTTTCTAGGAAAGCCCATAATACAGACACCTATAAGCACTGGATAAATTATAATTTGTTTTTCTGAAACACAATGTTGAACAAAAAACAAAGGGAAATAACCAGTTTCCAAAGACAGAACTGAAAACCAGAGCACTGCAACATCAGCTCAGTTCTTCTAGGTGTTTTCTGAAAGGTAGGAATCTGTACTAGCCCAATTTACCACATTGCTGGAATTCAAGATTTCCCTTCCATATTTAAGATTCTATAAATCTTGTTTTTTAAATGACAAGAAAAAAAGTCATTATATTATATTTATCTTATGAAATTTCTCTATTGCCACCACTGAAAGTAAATATACATGTAAAAAACAGATATGAAGTCAGATACCAACACATCTGGATCATCATCTTTTGTAGAACATTTAATTTTTATTCAAAACCATGAATGTTTAAAAAAAAGTCAGTTAAATTTAGATTCCTATGACTGCATGCAAGAATAAATACTCAGAGTTACGAGATACATGTACTCAACAATTTTACCATGTATTCCATAAAGATCATAAACCGGCATAATCTGACAATACGTAATGCCACCTTATATTTGAATATAATGCTTTACAGTATTAAAACTATTTTAGGTATTCTCATTTTATCATCATAACACTGTGAAGAAGGTTAAGTAGGTATTTTTATCCTTATTTCCTAGATAACTGTCATAATAAATTCATAGAATTAGTGTGAGGAAGGAAAGAAGTAAAAAAAAAAATGTTTAGAGGAGAAAACTAAGTGATGTTCCAAAGTTATACAACTAGTAACAGGCAGACCTAGGACCATAAACTAAATCTCTGGAGTCTTAAAGGTTCCCGTTAGGGGTCTTTCCGTTTTACCACAGAATTCAGTTTAATTGTCCTGTACTACCAGATGCCTTTGGCTAATGAGAACATGTACGAAATAATAAACACACACAAAGAGCACTGAAGTAGCAAACTGAGAGATGACGTCAACATTTTTTGAAAATACTTACTGGATATTCAAGGAGATCTACTGGTTGGCGGAAAGGCTCAGAATCTTCACATTGAAATATAAGATTTAACAATTCTTGACATTGTTTCTTCCACGCCTGAATATCACAAGACTGAGCTCTATTACGTAATCTCCTTCTAGGCTGATGATCCTGGGTGGGGGGACATCACCAATTTCAAGGATATTAATAAAATAACCCTTGTTGTTGTTGTTGTTGTTTTGCCGTTGAGTTGGCCCCGACTCATAGCGACCCCTCCTTGGGTTTCCGAGGCAGTATCACTACGGAAGTAGGATTGCCCAACCTTCCTTCC